AAACTTGCTAATAGACAACGCTGCCGAACCGAAGTTTTAAGCTTTGATGGCAGCATTCTTAGGTTTGTTAACTTCTAAATATTCAATTCTTGAAGATTGCTGAATTTTCTTATGAATGGATTCTTCTAGCATTTTCGATGGACAAGCATAAAATCAGTTACTTTATTATTAATAATTACCTAGCTTGTTCTGTAATTTAATCCAATGATTGTAGACATTTTTTGTGATGCATTGCATTCTAAATTAAGAGTACAAAATTTGCAACTGCCTGTTGTTGTAATGAAATATGTATTCCTAAAATGCTGCCATGCTAACCAATATGAACCTTGTACTGTTTAGCGGGATATTGCTGCATTGGTATCATATTTATTTTTCCTTTTATTCTTTTATTTATTATTATTATTATTATTAATAATATTATTATTATTATTATTGTAGTTTAAAATTAAAATTGAAATACTTTATTCAAACCTAAGGCATTGAAATATTTAGAAACTTGGTGTAACTCCTTCTATCTGTTCATTATAGCTCAATTTTGGTTTCCTAATCATTCAAATTCTCAGAAACTGTATACCTTTGGATGGTGCATGCAGATCTTATGCCTTAACTCCTGTGTACGAAGCTGCCACAAGGCCCATTGAAGAAGCTTCCTCTAAGCAATGAGTGTAGTTCTCTAATATCTGAAATCTCTCTGACCGGCAAATCAGGAGATTCTGGTATTACAGAAGCTGGGATGAATACTTATGATATATTAACTCCAGATTTAGACAAGTCAGTAGAGGCTTCTGCTTCCATCGAAGCTGCTCCTTGTAACATGGTTGGTGAAACCAGTTGTATTCCTTTTGAAGGTGATGATAGTCATGTACAGGAAGCCCGTGAAGATGGAAATCTTCAGAATAATGAGAAACTAATGGTTGAAGAGTCAGATGTTGGAACAGAAATGTTGAAAAGAAAAAAGAAATATCGTGTAGACATTCTCCGCTGTGAAAGCTTGGCTTCTCTTGCACCAGCAACCCTTGATCGATTGTTTGTACGTGATTATGATGTAGTTGTGTCCATAGTGCCTCTTCCTCATTCATCAGTTCTTCCTGGACCCACAGGCCTGGTTCATTTTGGCCCCCCATCGTATGCTTTTATGACACCTTGGATTAAATTGGTATTATATTCAACTGTAAATAGTGGGCCTCTTTCAGTTGTTCTGATGAAAGGACAGTGTTTGCGCTTTCTTCCTGCTCCATTGGCTGGTTGTGAGAAAGCTCTCATATGGTTTTGGGATGGTTCCACAGTAGGAGGGTTGGGAGGGAAGCATGGAGGAAATTTAGTAAAGGGAAGTATACTCTTGCATTGTTTAAATTCAATTCTTAAACATTCAGCTGTGCTGGTGCAGCCTTTAAGTAGGTTTGACCTTGATGAATCTGGTAAGATGATCACAATGGATATCCCTTTGCCCTTAAAGAACTCTGATGGATCTATTACTTCTGTTGGAAAAGAGTTAGGAATATGTGAAGGGGAAAGTTCAAAACTGAATTCTCTCTTGACTGATTTGGCAAACAAGATGGAGTTGTGGACGGTTGGGTATATTCGCCTACTGAAATTATATAATGAAGGAGAATCAGACCAGTTCTCACCTGAAGAGAAGTATGAATGGGTTCCGTTGAGTGTTGAATTTGGGATGCCACTATTCAGTCCAAAGTTGTGTAATAATATATGTAGAAGGGTTGTTTCTTCTGAATTACTTCAATCTGGCTCATTTGAAAAACACCATCATGCAATGCAAAGCTTAAGAAAAAAATTGAACGACATTTGTGCCGAGTACCAAGCAACAGGACCTGCTGCGAAGATTCTTTACCAGAAGGAGAAAGCTAAAGAATCCTCACGACAACTTATGAATTATGCTAGTGGAAGGTGGAATCCACTCATGGACCCTTCTTCTCCCATTTCTGGGGCGTCAAGTGAGCATCAAAGGTTAAAACTTGCTAATAGACAACGCTGCCGAACCGAAGTTTTAAGCTTTGATGGCAGCATTCTTAGGTTTGTTAACTTCTAAATATTCAATTCTTGAAGATTGCTGAATTTTCTTATGAATGGATTCTTCTAGCATTTTCGATGGACAAGCATAAAATCAGTTACTTTATTATTAATAATTACCTAGCTTGTTCTGTAATTTAATCCAATGATTGTAGACATTTTTTGTGATGCATTGCATTCTAAATTAAGAGTACAAAATTTGCAACTGCCTGTTGTTGTAATGAAATATGTATTCCTAAAATGCTGCCATGCTAACCAATATGAACCTTGTACTGTTTAGCGGGATATTGCTGCATTGGTATCATATTTATTTTTCCTTTTATTCTTTTATTTATTATTATTATTATTATTAATAATATTATTATTATTATTATTGTAGTTTAAAATTAAAATTGAAATACTTTATTCAAACCTAAGGCATTGAAATTCTTTTAATCCTTGCCCTCAAAGCAAACAAACATTAACAATGTTAACGATAGACGATGTGGTAATAATAATATTTCATTGACATATTTTGTGTTTCACGTTTTAGTTCCTATATTTATATTATTTGTACATTTTGGTCCTTATTCTTACATAACTTTACCATTTAGTCCCTATATTTAGATCAAACTAATCATTTTAATTAGTGTACAAATAATTTTTTATGTTACTAATATAAAGTAATTTTTTTATACTTTAGTTGTTGTCGTTAGTTGACCTTAATTTTGTTATCTTTAGGTTTTTTTAACACTATTCACAAGAAATTTGAAAGAAAAAATATTTTGTCGCACATCACCTCCAAAGATGATGTTAATAATTATGTGATTTACTTAAATTTAAGTGTGTAAATCACAATTATCTTTCTTTTTTTCTTATTTCTAGTAGCATTTACCTCCCTTTAACCTTACTTGATTTTGTTTAGCAATTTTCGCTTAGTCTTTTAGAATTGTGAAACAATTTTCACTTTTTGAACTTCTTTTTGTATGTTAAAGAACACTACAACACAAATGATATTTAGCAACATTTGAATAATGTTACTTAATTATGTATAAATGTTACTAATTTGTTTTAGCAACATATTATCAAATGTTGTATATAGTCAATGTTGCTAAAGAATTTTAGTAACATTTTTGCATAATTAGGTAACATTTTTTAAATGTTATCAAAGTAGTATTTTTGTAATATTTTAATAATTTTTTGTAACATTTTAATGATGTTGCCAAGATTTTGTTAATCTTATAAAATAATAATTAATTTCAATTTAAATATTACTATTAATTATTATATTGATATGTCTCCTAAACTTCTAGGAATTCCTTAAGTTTTTAGGGAAATAAATTTTTAGTTAGTCACCACTAATTATATATAAAATATCAAATTTTATTTATCTTAAATATAACTATATCAGTATATATACTCTTTAT